AATGGGATACAACTTCAAGGAAGAGGGGGTTAGATTTCATATCAGTGGAGCTTATTGGCTATACAACTTGCCAGCCATATTTATATGTCATACTAGAGTATCCATTCTCTGTTTGAAGACTTCTGTTGATGGGGAAAAAATCACCATTTTATACAGTGCCTTGGTCTACTGGCTGAGAAGGGAGATAGACTAGATCAGTGTTTCTCAATCTTGACAACTTTAGGAAGTGTGGACTTCAACCTCCAGTATCCCAGAATTGTGGGGGTTGAAGTCCACACTTTCTAAAGTTGTCAAGGTTGAGAAAGACTAGACTAGATGTCTTTCAATGTCCTTTCAAACTCTACAATTCTATGTATGAGTTTACAGGAAACTCTTTGACAGATTATGTTGGAAAAGTAATTAGGACCGATGTGAAACATGTCCATAAAAACAACTACAATATGTTATTGGCATGGTGGGAAGTACCAGTCTGGAGAAAATTGTGGCTGCTTTGCTATAAGGCCTTGCATTCCACAACTGTAAAATATACACCACAGCATCTGTATGTAATACAGAAACTCTACCAACCAGAAGCATCTTGGTTCAGATTACAATATGTAATGTCTATCTTACAGCCTCAAGAGTTAGTAACTAAACCACTTCACGGTGATAACTACTCTGCAGCAGGAAGGAAATTACAGCATGGAGTAAGCCTGCCAATGGAATATTTCTGAACTAGGACATTCCTAAAAGGGCAGCAGCTATTAATGTTTCTAGAAGTTTAATTTTATAGTAAAAGATTTAGCAGCATAGAGAAAAGTAAAAAAAAATATATATATAAGAAAAAGTTAGCTTCGAAGGAAAAGAAATAACTTAAACTAATATTAGAGGGAATATATTTCAGAATTGCTCTTGTTTTATCATCTCATAGCTTGTGGCTAGGATAAAAGGTCACAGATAATTGGTGAAAGTATGATGAATGCCTTCCAAAAATTGTCCCTTTCATAGTTTTAGCTGAAGCAGGACATGCAGAATTGTTAAAGGAACAGGCATTTTAGGATGTACTGACATTTTGAATTATTGAATCCCTACATCACTGACTTTAAAAAGTCTATAGAAGATGCAGAATTTACATTAAATTCTTCCTATGCCCAAAACATCAGTCATGTACTGTATGTGGGAGGGAAAACACTCACAGGTGAAAAATGCATAGACCATGTGATTCATCTCAAGTGTATGTGGTACAAATATACCATGCAAACATCATATTTGTAAAAAGTTAATTAAAATGCATTCCCACCATTAAAATATGAAATAAATATCTGCTGAAGCAGACATTTCATTAAAAACATGCCATACAGTTCAATTCAAATAAATCTCTCTCTACACACACCCAAACACAGACATATAATAGAAAGCTAGATGTATAAACACAAACTTTTTTCAGCTTTATATAGGCTGCAATCTTATACCTACTTAGGAAGATATCCAAAAATTAAGCATTATGAAAAAAATAGAACTTTAGGAGAAAGACAAACAAATCATAGAGGTTGTTCTTCTGAACTGCAGTATCCATCAAACATTTCATTAGGAAATGATTCTTTCCAACAATGCCAAACTTTGAATTTGACTTCAAAAGATGTTTGGAACCATGGGACGCAGCCAAATGATCCCAAGAAAATACACAGTTGCTTTAAAGAGCTTCAGATAGGTGGATATCTGAAGCTGTTTAAAGTAGCTGTGTTCTATGTTGATATGCAATAGAGATATTTGGACATGAAAGATTGATATGTAACATTTTTAATGGCATTCCTATTTGAATACAGGCATCATCTATCTAGCTGAAGCTTTTGGGTTTTGTCATGTAATCTTCAAAATGCACAAACTACTAAATGACATTTGAGTACATTCAGATGGGATCAATATTACCACCTCCTAGCTAATTTAGTTTATTGGGGAATTGGGGAATTTGAAGAAACCTTCTTTGAAACTATCAGATGACATTAAGTCAGTAAACAAGTGAGGGAGAACACAACCTCTTGTCTTAAATCTTCCGTGATACAGATACAGATAATCAGAGTTGGAAGGGACCTTGTAGGTCATCTAGTCCAACCCCCCGCCCAAGTGGGAGATCCTACACCATTTCTGACAAATGGCAGTCCAATCTCTTATTGAAAGTCTCAACTGATGGCGCTCCCACAACTTCCGAGGAGAAGCTGTTCCATTGGTTGATTATTCTCACTGTCAGAAAGTTTCTCCTTGTTTCCAGGTTAAATCTCTCCTTGTTCAGTTTCCATCCATTATTCCTTGTCTGGCCTATAGGAGCTTAAAAAATAGCTTGACCCCCTCCTCCCTGTGGCAGCCCCTCAAATATTGGAAGACCACTATCATGTCTCCCATGGTCCTTCTCTTCCCTAGACTGGCCAGGCCCAGTTCCTGCAACCGTTCATTGTATGTTTTAGCCTCCAGTCCCCTAATCATCCTTGTTGCTCTTCTCTGTACTATTTCTAGAGTCTCAACATCTTTTTTATAATGTGGTGACCAAAACTGGATGCAGTACTCTAGGTGTGGTCTTACTAAGGCTTTATAGAGTGGTATTAGTTCTTCCCTTGATCTTGACTATATCTCTCTGTTAATACAACTTAGGATTGCATTAGCTTTTTTGGCGGCTGCTGCACACTGCTTGCTCATATTTAGCTGGTTGTCCACTAAAACTCCAAGATCCCTCTCACAGTTACTGCTACTGAGCCTGGTTTCACCCAGTCTATATGTGTACTTTTAGTTTTTACGTTGGACTATTCAGTCTTTGTTAATTGATTCTTTTTCTTTGCTAATTTCATCACAAGTTAATCATGATGACCTTCTGAAATAATTAAGTTGATAGTACATAACTCTACAATGTCCTTTTAGGAACTTGCCTACTGATTTCTCCTTAAGGATTGCTGTTAAAAATAAACATGGCCCTAGGAACATGAATACAAACAGAAGGAGGAAGAAGTAACCATATTCTCCACTCATATAATAATTCACAGATCTTCTGAAACTGAGAGCAGGGATTTACTGTACAATTTTCCAGCCTTTACATTTTGATCTTCGTTCCACATAAAACATAGATACATATGTCACAGTGCAACCCCCCACTATGTACATATTTACATCAGATGTTGGATTGCAAATATGTAAGGGAATAACATGGTATCACCCTGCACATGCAAACATTTTTTTATGAAATAAACTTTATAAAAGATTAAAAAGAAAAATATATATACAATGTATAAGATACAATGTTTCATTGCAAATGAAACCAATATACAAATATAAACATAAAACATATATATTTCTAATCAGCTAAGATGGTGTGATCATTTATTGAAAACAATTTTACTAATATTCATTTTCTATTTTTGGTATATGATCTTAATCTAACCACTTCATTTTTCAAATCTTTATCTTTTAATTTTGTGGTTTTTCTCCTTAATCCAATTATACTATTTTCCCCAAGTTGTACTATATTTTGAGTCTACCTTATCCCTAAGTTTTTATGTAAGTAGGTTCATTTCAGCGCAGTCAAGAACTTTCTGAATTATCAAATTATTTGTTGACATTTGGTCAGCCTTCCAGCATTGTGCCAACACAATTCTTGCTGCTGTAATTATATGGAGAATTAAGTATTTCGTTTCTTTTGCATAGTCCCCTTTTAACATTCCCAACAAAAATGTTTCGGCCTTAAATTCTAATTGTATATTTGTAATTTCTTTTATCCAAATTCTAATTTTTTCCAGTACTTTTTTTACTTTTTGGGTAAAGCCACCAAGCGTGAAAGAAGGTACCCCTCATTTGCTTACATTTCCAACAAGTCGGATTTAAGTTTGGGTACATGTATATGCAAACTTTTATCTGTGGCCTTCCTTAACACCAGGGGTGTCAAACACAATTTCATTGGGGGCTGCATCAAGGTTGTGTTTTACCTTGGGGGGGGGGGCAGTAAGACATTGGCGTGGCCAGCTCACTGTCACTCGTATCAGGGGTGCCTGTGGTGGTCTGAGCACTTTGCCAGCAAAAACGGGCTCCTGAGATCCGTTTTTGGCTGCGACGGCCTCCTACAAGCCTCTGCCAGTCGAAACAGAGCTCGTGAGGGGACAATCCTCCCAAGTTCTGTTTTCGCTGGCATAGGGTTGCAGGAAGGCCATCGTAGCCCAAAACGGAGCTCCGGGGCCTGTTTTCTCTGGTAGAGGCATCACGGGCCGGTCCTTTGCTGTTTCCAGGGTGGCCCTTTGGGCCAGATCTAAATACCCTGCGGGCCGGATCTAGCCCCCAGGCACCCCCCCTAGACACCCATGCTTTTTAGGTTGACCAAATTTAGAAATTTTTGATCAGTCTGTAAAAAAAAAGAAAGAAAGAAAGAAAGAAACGGCGGCTTTCTAGTAAATTATGATTTATTTAAATCACATTTCCAGACTCCAATGAGACGGCCAGCAATGGCAGACCACAAATCAAACTCAGAATAATGGTACATGAGGGATCAGAGAAGAGAAACCTGCTACGTGCCATCGTTTAGCACTTATTAAAACAACAACAACAACTCAGGAATGTTCGTTAGTGTGCATTTTAATGAAATTAATAGTCTGAAGGACAAGGTACAAATTTACCCATGAAAAAATGAAGATTGATCGTTTTTATAGGCTGAGGATTGCGGTTGACTCAATTTAATTATTTGGAACATTTTTAATGATTTGCCACAAACTCCGGAGCATTATTTACATTCATTTACAGTGGTATCAATCAAAACAGGAGCTCCTTGAACTTTGGATGTTTTTTCTGAGGCGGTTATTATAATTATCCCATTACATCCGTTGATTGCACACAGGATGTCCTGCTGGCAATTCATTTCTACACCAAAAGATACTTCCATTGAAACTGATAAGGGGCTTCCCCGTAAGAACCTTGCCCTATGACTGCTATGCTTTCAAGTAATAAACTGTAATGTTAGACCCTGCCCCAAATGCAATTGTTTGTCCTACCTTGAGGCCTTGGCATTCGTTTTCTGCGATCCCTGAAGGCTTCTCCAGACTGCAGTGCTTCTAACAGATTATCCATCACTCCTGTCTCATCCCCTTCTGTGAATCACAGAAAAAAAAGTCAAATTAATTGCTTTGCAATTAAGGCTGGGGGGGGGAGAGACAAAGGATAAGGAAAGCAAAAGTAAGGTTACATTTGCATGACAAAAAGCACCGGATTAAGGACATATATGACAGGGCTATGCAAGCTGTTAAATTCCATGCAGAGCTATTGACTAGTTCGCTTCTAAAGTTCTATTAAGTGGAATTGATATTCGCTTCTGTTTTTTAAGACCTTGTTTTTTTATCTCATTGATAACGTGGACCACGGACAAATATACAGATGTTAATTGGCAGCTGCTGTTATCCCGTTCATATCTGTAGATTCCCTAAGGATGAAGCTGGGAAATCTTGCAGCAGAATTAATACATGTTAAGAAATTCACTGATTGTGGCACTATCAACATCAGTTTAACCCTACAGTTAATGACGAGAAGGCTTGTTCCACTATTTTTCGATGCAAACAGAGAGCTTCTTAATTTTAATGAAAGTGTAAATACACATAAACAAGCATCTGCTTGTACCTGTCAGTTTCATTTAACTATCAAAAAAAAAAAAAAAAAAAGCGATTGCAAGCAAGACTTTTGTTTCTATTAACCTGAGACATTAAAATCACACTTTATACTTCTCATTTCTCTCCTCTCCTATCTTGTTCATCATTATTCACTCAGACATAATTTTACTAGAATTTGTTTATTCTGATAGAGAAATTGTGAGTAGGTCCATAAAAAGAAAAAACCAACTGTTCAAAAATAAACAGGCAGATATTTTTTTCTTCCTAAAGCAGGGAGCGTTTGAGTTGTAAAGGTGTTTAAAAGTCTGAGGCATTCAGGGAAGCGGGCTGAAGATTTTCACTTCTTTAATCATTAATTATTTGCCTATTCATCACTGGCATTTTTAATTTCAATTTATTTTATTCTGAGAGCTTCAAACAGCTTTTGGCAATCTTGAAATGCAGAACACACTAATACTGAAACAGTCATAGAAGACCAGTCAGCCATGTTCCTTCTTTTATCCGCACAAGATTACAGAGTCAGCTTCAAATAACAAAAGATAGAGTGATTTTCTTGTACCCATTAGTGGATTGACTAATCAAATAAAGATTAAGATTAAGGCCACATAAGTTTACATCAATTTAATTTGTCTGCATAAATTTATCATTAAGCTAAGTACAACAAACATCACTTAGTAGGGACTACACTATATAAAGTATTAAATATAAAGTTTCCTATTCAGTGAAATATTTAAATAAAAACAATGTAAGAGAATTGTAGTGTATCCATATACCTATTTCTACGACAAACCGCAGATGGAAATGAACAATACATATATGTATATCCATGGGTATGCAAAGATGTAAAGGCTTAAACTTGCTGGAGGCAAAATAGCAATAGCACTTATATACCGCTTCACAGTGCTTTGCAGATCTCTCTAAGCATGTCAGCATCTTGCTCCCAATGGGTCCTCATTTTTACCGGCCTCGGAAGCATGGAAGGCTGAGTCAACCTTCAGCTCGTCAGAATCAAACTGCTGGCAATGGGCAGAATTAGCCTGCAATACAGCATTCTAACCACTGTGCCAAAATACACCATTTCTTGGTATTAGAAAATTCCCTTGGTGGGTGCAATAAGACAATCATACAATGATGGAGGAGGAGGAGGAGGAGGAAGAGGAGGAGAGCTAGACAAATGCTGGAGAAACAACCACTATGAAAAGAAGCAAACACAGAGGACCATCAACCACTCTAGTGAAGAAAGGGAAAGAACTATAGTTTCAGTGGTCTTTTGAACACAACCTGAGTGGATCCCAGATATATTGGGAGGTTGGGTGTTTCAGAAAGCAGGTGCTGCGGCAGAGAATGCAACAGAGAGGCAGTATGGCCTAGTGGTTAAGGCACCAGGCTAAACGCTAGCAGACAATGAGTACCAGTCCCACCTTAGTTATGAAAGTCAACTAGGTGACTTTGGACCAATTACTAGGAGGTGGTGAGCTCTAGTTCAGTTTTAGGCATGGCAGCCATCTAGGCAACTTTGGACAAATCACCAGGAGACTTGAGTTCTAGTGCCATCTTAGGGATGCAAGCAGGCTGAGTGACTTTAGACAAATCCCTCTCCCTCAGATCAATCCATCTGACAAGGTTGTTGTAATGGGGAAAATAGGAGAAAGGAATGTTGTGTGTGTTCATTACCTTGAGCTATTTATACAAATACTGTGTTTCCCTGAAAATAAGACCTGTCTTATAATTTTTTTTCCACCAAAAAAGGCACTAGGTATTATTTTGGGGGGATGTCATCGACTGACTAACCTCACTTGCGCACGTCGCCCCCCTGGCCTCCTTTTTGTTGTCAGGGGCTTTCAGGAACATCTTCTTCTGTGGCCGGCAAGGGTTTCTGGCCTCTGCAGCCGATAACAGAGCTCCAGATCGATTCAGAGCTTTGTTCTCAGCTACAGAGGATTTCAGGAAAGCCTTGCCGGTTGCTGAAGAAACGGGCCGGCAAGGCAGGTGTCGGGGTGTGCGAGGCCTGGCTACAACTGTCCAAAGCTAAGTAGTAGGGCAGCTCCACCACCCTCCATCCCCACCCTAGCTTAATTTTTACCCGTGCACTCTGGAGTGGGTGGGATCTTAATCAGGGCTTATTTTGGGGGTAGGGCTTATATTGGGCACACATGTATAAATCAAGCTAGGACTTACTTTCAGGGTAGGTCGTATTTTCGGAGAAACGGTGTAATAAAAGTGAGGTATAACTAGGTAAGTGATCAAGAAGGCAGAGTTCCTAAGTCCCATCAGGTGACAGGCTTAACAGATTGGTGAAATATGGTTCATGGCAGAACAAGAGAGCTATCTAGTTCCAAACATAAGTCTATTCCTGAAAGGATAACATAACCCACTTTTTGCCAGGAGCAGCTGCTTCAACATGATGTTCTTACAACCTCCTATTGCAATTTACATTTCTCTCGCCATAATAAGTAGGAAGGAATTAAATAATGTTGAATGACTGTGTTCCTGCTTTAGAAAACATATAAAATGCAATATTACTTTTTTAGACTAATTACCAATTTGGTGAAAACTAATTTTCTATTGAATGCTTCCAAAGTCTTCAAGTATATTTTAAAAGCAACAGAGAGAAAGAGGGGGGAAACCCGAACATTAGAAATCCTTTATAAATTGATCGCATCCCTGTTAAAAGAGGCCCACTTAATTGCTCATAAAAGCTATTTGCTTAAAGTGGATTTTTTCTATTCTAGAACAAGGAACTATTCAAGACATTGGAGCACTCTGCTCCACTTCATAACCAATGATAGTTTATAGCAATTTGGGAATGAACAGAACAAGGTATCAGATAGAGATCAAATCGGTGCCTCCTTCAATCATACCAAATTTCTCACCTACAGGAATAACAGTATGGATCTGACATTTAATCCATCTCAGGAGCAGCTCAAAGGGATTAAACTAGGTTTGCTTTTCACAAATATAATTTATTGGGAATGTCAGTCCTTGCACAAAGCAGCAGATGTTTTTGAAGCATTTTGTAAGTCCTGGGAAGCAAGCAATTTCAGCATAGTTCACAGACTGCTAATTAACCTAATGAAATGTCTTATAAGATTGGAAACCAAAGGCTGGGATATCGATGACATAAATCAGCATTCTGATGATATTCATGTATGTATGTATGTATACAGGGATGGAGTGGCTCAGTGGCTAAGATGCTAAGCCTGTCGATCAGAAAGGTCAGCAGTTCGAATCCCTAGCACCGCATAACGGAATGAGCTCCCATTACTTGTCCTAGCTTCTGTCAACCTAGCAGTTTAAAAGCATGTAAAAATGCAAGTAGAAAAATAGGGACCCCTTTGGTGGGAAGGGAACAGCGTTCGGTGCGCCTTTGGTGTTTAGTCATGCCAGACACATGACCATGGAGATGTCTTTGGGACAGCGCTGGCTCTTTGGCTTTGTAACGGAGATGAGCACTGCCCCCTAGAGCCAGAAACGACTAGCACGGATGTGCGAGGGGAACCTTTACCTTTACATGTATGTAGGTGTGTGTGTATGTGTTTCTTAAGCCTTCAAATAATTCATCGCCATCAGTAGATCAATACGAGGAATGGTTGCAGAAACTGGGCATGGCTAGTCTAGTGAAGAGAAGGACCAGGGGAGACATGAGAGCAGACTTCCAATATTTGAGGCGCTGCCACAGAGAGGAAGGGGTCAAACTGTTTTCCAAGGCACCTGAAGGCCAGACAAGGAAAAACGGATGGAAGCTGAACAAGGAGAGATTCAACCTGGAAATAAGGAGAAACTTTTTGACAGTGAGAGCAATCAACCAATGTAACACCTTGCCTTCAGAAGCTGTGAGAGCTTCATCACTGGAGGCTTTCAAGAAGAGATTGGACTGCAACCAGCATGTATTTATGATGCTTGCAGGATCCTGGGGTAACATGATCATCATTTGCAACCTTCCCATTGGAAGCTTTTCTTCCAAGAAGGAAAGTCAATAGAGGAGTCTGAATTTGCTTAAGGATCATGGGAATTGCTTCAAAACTTCAGTGTTTCACTTAACAACCGTAACAAAAAATGTTGTAAAATCAGGGATGACTTGCTCAACTATCACCTTGCTTAGTAACAGAAATTCTGCTGTCCATTGTGCTCGTGAGTTGCAACCATTATAGCTCTAAGGATGGGGAAGAAGGTCTTCAAACCATCTAGAGAAGTTTGAGGAATGGTGTGTAGAGAAGAGAAAGGACAGGCAAGAAACTCAACTTATGGACTTCCCAGGAAACCTGACAATTGTATCAGGTGTCCAGATTCCATTTCAGAATTATTGATCAGCGTTTCCTTGACAAATTTCACAACAGAAATCTCAGCTAAGCACCCATTTAATATTAAAAAAACACACACTCTCATTCATCTTACACTTAATTCTGAAAGTATGATTTCCACTTGACACTGTGATAAACTAAACAATAGAAAAAAAGCTTCCCCCCCATTTATTACCGTGTCAAGTG